CAGTCTAAAAGAGAAATGAAAGACAAATGGCTGATGCATATTTTTTTAATGTCTAACACCTGTAATTATCATGAAAATGTAAATTAAAAGTACTTTGACTCAACCTGGAGCAGCTGGGGTAGAAGGAAGACAGCCAAGAGCCGAGGAGGCGGCAGGCACCACTTCGAAGAACAAACATGTGAGGGAGAGGTGGGAAAGAAGGAAAAACGGAGCAAGCCGGGCTTGTGCTTGTGAAGGGAGCTGGAACGGGAGATGGTGACAAGTGACAGAGAGGGCTGAGGTCTACTAGCTGTCGCTGTGGTGGGTGCGGTGGGGTGGAGCTTAAGCAGACACTGACTGTCCCCCAAACCTGCCACCTGACCGCGGAATCCCCTGGCACTGGGCAACAAATGGGGCCAGAGATGGGGAAAGGTTTGCTTTCTGGATTGGACCTTCTTGGGGACCACCATGGCCCTTGTCGATGGCACCAGAGGCCATGTTGGTATCGGTGGTCCATGCTGTTGCCCCAGCCTGCGATGAAACCTGAGATCCATGTGGACATATGCAGTCTTTTCTGCTGCTGATGCCTTGGTGATGTCCTCAGGCTTTGCTGTCTCAGGGTGCCACTCTCAAGTGAGTGGCATGTGTAACTACCTGAAGCCATGTTAAGGCTGTGGCCCACGGAGGCTGAGGGCCGTAAGTGGGTCAGTGGCCTGATACAGTCAAGGGCCATGTTGATGTCTACAACCTGTGTTGCCACCAAAGCCCATGTGGATGCCCATGGTCTGGGCTGCTGCCTGAAGCCTTGTTAATATCAGTGTGTGCAAGACAGCTGGCCTTGGCCCTCGAAGGAGAGATGGCCCCGCCCCTCAGTGGCAGCTGCATGGCAGTGCCCAACAGTGCCAAGGGTACAGAGATCGGGCTATCAAGGGAAAGCTGGCCCCACACATCACCTGTCCACAGCTTGGTGAATGTGACAGCCATGGCTTGGGCGTGGGAGAGCTGGCTCTGGCCACCACACTGCTCTCCTCAGTTGATGACTTCTGGCACAGAAGCAGACAAAGACTCATCTCCTTTAGGAGGCTGGCCACTAGAAATCTGACAATGCTCCAGTGAATATATGGACAACACGAAATGAAGTTTTTTCCTCCCTGGTGGGGAGGTCATGGGAAAGGGGGATGGACATGAGAAGACTGGAAGGTTAGCACCATCAGGGTGCATGGTGTGAGATTCCTAAGTAATCAATAAAAAAATTTTTTTTTTTTAAATCTACTTTGAGGGGTTGGAAGATGGCTCAGTAGGTAAAAGCACTTGTTGAGCAGACATGAGGACCTAAGCTCAAACCCCAGCATCCATACAAAAAGCCAAACTTAGGCATGAGTGCCTGTAACTCCACCACTAAGTAGGAAACAGACTAAAGGACTGCTGGGACTTGCTGGCCACCAGCCCAGCTCCAGGCTCAGAGAGAGACCCTGCCGTGAAGGAAAGTGGAAAGTGATACAGCAGGACACCCGCATCCTCCTCTGGCTTCCTACACACACACACACACACACACACACACACACACACACACACACGATAGACAGATAGATAGAGACAGACAGACCGACAGACAGATCAATCTACTTTGAAACTCAGCTTCGACTGTCAGAATGGCCATCATGAAGAAAACAAAAGACAGCAAGTGCTGCTGAGGTTGTGGGGAGAGAGGAAGCCTTACCTATTCCCTGCTGCTGAGAGAATGAACTGGTGCAGACACTACGCAAAGCAGCGAGGAGATCTTTCAGAAAACTAAAAGTAGAACAACCATGTTACCCATCTACACCATTCCTGGATGTATCCCTAAAGGACTCTGCATTCTCCCAGAGACACGTGCTCATCCACGTTTATTGCTGTCCTACACAATAACAAATTGCAGGGATTGGCCGCCCTATCCTCAGTAAGAGGAATGGATTGAAAATGATGCATGTGTACATCACAGAATTGCTTTCACTCATAAGAAAATATGAGATTTGTAGGAAAGTGGATGCAGTTGGAAATTATTAATAATTAACAAAGGTGCAGAAAAACAAACAAGGCATGGGTTCACATGCAGATCTGAGCTTCTAATTTTTATGCATGGCATGGCTCAGCTGCTGGAGGTGCTGGCCACTAAGCCTGACCACCTGAGTTCTGTCCAGGGGACTGGATGGGATGGAGGAAACTGACTCCTACCTGCCCCACATACAAATAAGTGATGGAATGCATGTATTTATGTGAGAATGAGTGTGGGTAGAGGTCAGAAAACTAGAAAAGGACCCATGAGAGATGAGGAAAGAAGCCTTTAGAGAAGTCAGTGGGGAGGACAATGGAACACATGCTGTTATAGATGACTTGAGAAGGTTACAGACCACCATGCTAATTAAACCAGTTAGGAGGACAGACAGTCCTTTATTCAGAGAAGCTGGTGACTGACAGCAGGCCCCTCCCACAAAGAACTCTCAGTCACAAAGCCAGGCAGGGGAGTTTTAAAGCCACAAAGCCTGTCTGTACTCACATCACAGCCGGTGCAGGCTGGGGTGGTTTGTTTTGGTTTCTTTGTTTTTTGTATTTGTTTGTTTTTTGTTTTTTGTTTTTTAATCACATAGTCAAATTTACTTCAAGCCCTGTGAAAACATCCAGACTAATCAAAATAGTGCTGTACCTTTTATAATACGCGGACCATCCAGTTTTTGAAGTCTAAACAATTAACTAATCCCTAAACCCACACACCATGTATTTCCAAAAGCAGTGACTATTTAACAAAATGTATGAACTTTCATACATTTAAAGAAAACATAATTAGCAGCAAGCTATCCCACTGAGCAAACACAAATCTATTTTTGTACTTTTCATTTTTTTTAAGTTGCTTTATATATCCACCGATATTTAAGGCTTCTTCAAAGTATGGGATTTCCAACATCAAAAAGTGTATTTTCAAGGCTAGGGAGGCAGCTCACTAGTAGAGCACTTGCTTACCATTTATAAGGTGGAGTTCCATCCCCCACCACACCCCACAAGCGCGCGCGCGCACACACACACACACACACACACACACACACACACACACGCTCCATATATGTGTTTATGCTGTAAAAGTTCCCTTCTCCATCCTTTAATGTCTCTCCTCCCATAGGTAGTGTCTCCGTACCAGCAAATTTGTTGCTGTACAGTGAACAACGATCCAATATGCTGATGGCACAAAGCAATCGTAATCTGGTTTCAGAGAGATCGAATTTTAACTTTCTGCCAATATAAACAAAAGAACTCAAGTGGCCAAAACTTAGAGTAAGAGGAAAAACAGAAGGTATAAATATATTTAACTAAAACTTTCTACATTAGGCAGCTATAGGGTCTCTCTAGAGGGGCATTAAATTATATTTAAGAAGCTGTCCATACAGGGCTACACAGGCTTACATTTGTTTTGAGAACAAAGGACCACATTAAAAAACAAATGCTTTTACTTTATTGTTTGGTTATTAAATAGTTTTCCTAAAGGAAAAACAAGTATTTGTGGGTTTTGATTAAGAAACTGTTATAGCTAGGCAGTGGTGGTGCATACCTTTAATTCCAGGACTCGGGAGGCAGAGGCAGAAGCAGGCGGATCTCTGTGAGTTCAAGGCCAGCCTGATCTACAGAGAAAGTTCCAGGACAGGCTCTAAAACTACACAGAGAAACCTTGTCTTGAAAAACCAAAAAAAGAAAGAAACTGGTATAACCAGGCATAGTGGTGTACTCCTTTAATTCCAGCAGAGACAAGTAGATCTCTGAGTTTGGGAGCATTCAGGGCTACATAATGAAACTCTTGTCTTTAAAAAAAAAAAAAAAAAAAAGGAGGAAAGTAATAAAGGGAAAAAATTGATGTGTGCAAATGAATAACTGTGTTCACTTCAATCCCAAAGAAACCTGCAGATGAAGTTTCTTGTTCTGTTTTTCCTAAAAATGCAATGCAGATCTGTGCTTGACCACTGTTCATGCAATGATGAGCAGAATGGCAGACACACATGTTGTAGGATATTCCCGATGGGAATAGCATCAACCACTTAAAGTGAAAAAATGAACCAAAATCAGAAAAATGTTAGAGTAAAGGGAGTTTTAACAACACAAAAGCAAAACGATGTAGGGCTCTAAAGAGGAAGTGGCCTGGAAATCTAGCTCTGTTTCAGCTCTTGCCTGGTGTGTGAGGCCCTGGATTCAATCTTTAGTATTGTGCAGAAAGCAAATGAACAAAAACCCTGACGGGAAAACAATCTAGGCCACGCAAACTGAGAGAGCTCCAAACAGACCGGAAACTGTAACTCAAAAGTTTTCATGTCTATAAAATTATATCACGCACAAAACAATACAAACACAGCATGGATTTTCCTCCTTGGTGAATTTCATGTGATTGTTTCCCGTGAAAGCCCTCTCTGTTTCAGGCAGCATGCTCCCCAGCACACCAGGTGCTAACCCTGGAAAAGCCCTCTCTGTTCCAGGGAGCATGCTCCCCAGCACACCCGGTGCTAACCCTGGGAATTTCAGTCCTCCTTCCAGTGACTTGCTTCCCACCCACACTCACAGAAATTCCATTTCCATTTTAAGACCCTGGCTTTCTGGTGGCTCACTCTAATCATCATTCCATTAAAGAATCGTGATTTCTGAATGGATCTTTTTAGTACCGTAACATGGTGGATTTAGTAGCTGAAGCTTAACAGGATAACCACATTGTATTGCCAAACTAATTCAGTTTCAGGAAAATGTACAAATTAAATACAACCAAGGTGAGACTAAATCGTAAGCAGTGAAACACTACAGTGGATGGATAAATAAGATACCTTTCATCAGTGGCCATTCAAAACTTCGCCTTTAGAAACTTAAAAGAAATTTTCATCATGGTATTTCAAATCCAGTCTTTGTTGTTTCGGATTGTTTTTTCTTTAGTATCACCTTGAATAGCTGTAATAAGTGATTCTAGAAAGAATCAAAGTTTTTTCTCTGGTCTAAGGTAACCACCAATGGCCACATTGAAAATTTCTCCATAGCAGCCCTCTTCAGGGTGAGAGAGATGGCTCAGTGGTTAAGAACACTGGCTGTTCTTCCAGAGATCCTGAGTTCAATGCCCAGCAACCATATGGTGGCTCACAACCATCTGTAGTGAGATCTGATGCCCTCTTCTGGCCTGCAGGCAGAGATACAGGCAGAACACTATATAAAATAAATAAATAAATCTTTTTTTCCATGGACTTTTTTATGTTTTTGTAGTATGGTTCCAGCCTATTGCTCACCAATCTTATGAACATCCACTCCCGAAAATGGGACATCCATCATAAATGTCAGTGGACACACATCAGCTAGAAGATTCTCCACTAGTTGGGGAAAATGGCTGTGGGAAGCCCCGATGCTTGGGGGCCTCTTAGGAAGTAGGCACTTAGTAACTGGTTGTGGTAGAAGAACAGCTCTTCATGACATCATCTGCGGAGACGCGGGCTTCTGTCCACTCTGTCCCTGCAGCACCCAGTAAGTGAGGCTCCCAGGCCAGCAGCGGACCAACAGAAGCTGGAGGGGTGGGTGCAGGACACCCTGGCGAGGAGTGCCTGCTCACAGACCTTAGTCGGCTGCCAGAACTCGATCAGCTAGGGAGGAGGTGGGTCTTTACCTTCACTTTCTTTCCCAGCAGGGAAGGAGGAACCCTTTGATCTGTAAAATATCTCAGAAGCATCATTTTTCGGAAGTGGGAAATCGTTTGTTTGCATGCAAGATGCAGCTCCTGAGGGAGGAGATTTGTGTGGTCAGGGTAACCGGACCTCCTAAGCCATTTCAATGGGATGTGGAAAGAGGAGCCCCGGAGGGAGAATAAAAGATGGGGTGGAGAATGCGAGGAAAGGAGAAGAGGAGCAGGTGTGGGCAACATCAGCCAAAACTAAGGGTGTTTGAAAATTCCGTAAGGAAGCCCATTACAATGCTGCGTATATGTTACTCTAACTGAAAAATAAGGCACGTTTTAGTGAAAAGAGGCTCTTCAACAGTAAAAAGCCACCATTCCCTAAACTATTATGAATGTTTTATATATAGCCTTTATTAATCTTCACAACTCTGAATAGTAGTTATTTTCCCCCAGTTTACAAAGTAGGAAATCGAAGCCAACAGGGTTAAGTGTGTAACCTATCCAAAGTCATACTGCTGGCCAAGATTACCATGAGAGACTGGGTGAGTCTGAACCTACAGCTCATGTTTGTATTCACAACACCACATTCAGGCTGGAGCGTGGGGACTGAAAGTTCAAGACCAACTTGGGATACAAAGTGAGTTCAAGGCCAACCTAAATAACTTAGCGATATCTTGTCCCTAAATTTAAAAATATGGAATAAACTTCAATAATAGAGTACTTGCCTAGCAGACATGAGGCATAGTCCTGGTAAAACACACGATTCTGCAGAAAATATGAATACATGAATGAAAAGTTGATTTCCTTTTTATAAAAAGTGTATGCGGGGCATGGTGGTGAGTATCTTTAATACTATAATTCAGGAGACAGAACCCTTTCAGTTTAAAGTCAGCCTGGTCTGCATAGTAAGTTCCAGGCCAGTTAGAGATACATAGTGAGACCCTATCCAGAAAAAAGCGTGAAACAGTAGCATGTGTTAAAACTTTCCCTGGCCTTATTTTATGGTCCAGTATTAAGTACAGCAGAGTGGGTAACCAGAAATCAAGTTCCCATGAGCCTCTGGGGAGCTGAAAGTCACGGGCTCCAACAACTAACAGTCTAGTCCCACAGTGCCCTCTGGTGGTCACTTG